ATCAAATAGTGGCAGATGGAGAGGGAGTTGTCTCCTCGTGTGGGGCAATGTAAATAAAAAATAATTTAACCCGGGGCAGTCTTTATCAGTATAATGCAATTAGCTGAAACCTTGAGCAAATTACCATAGACTCCCAATGGGTGAGGTGGGAGGGACCAGGAAGAAATCATAGAGCGGCCGGAAAGAGTGTACACCCTGAGTACCTTAGCCAATGGGGAAAAGGGGAGGGACTTGCGATGGGGAAGCTATATAATCAGGCCGGAGTGTGTATGTGGGCGGGGCTTCTTATTTGCAACGAAGCCCGCCGGCCTTTGCAAACGCTTCCAATAAACTTGACTTCTGACTAACCCAGAGAGATTTGTGGCGCTTGTTTCACACCCGCAGACGAAACATCAGCAACACAATTCACAAAAAGAAAAGTACAGCAGAGGGATACTTTAGATATTACTCTAAATTGCTTTGAAACGAGGCAAACTCACGTCACTCCCCCTCCAGGGGCCCATGGCGAGGGGTCACGAGAATCTTTCTAATAATACCTTATTTCCGAGATACACGTGGATGCAAGCACAATGAGAACACAACCAGAAAAATCATGAACATGACACTGCCAAGTTTTATTACAGAATATCCTGTAGGACAGACTCTGCATTTATTCCCCAGTGTGGTCGGTTTGTTCCGTCATTCGTTTCCATAAGCTGAGAACATTCAGTAACGGGGAGTTACCTAAAGAGTGTCCGAATGCCCACCCACCAAACAGCAAATGTTGAAAAAAGATATTATTTCTTTCTTACAGAATTCCTCAGTGGACGGAAAGAATTGAGACTTCATTAGAAAGAAGCCAGAAATTGTTAAAGGAGTGATTCTCTGTCCTTTCAACCGAAATACAGTACTATTAATACTAAACTCTCTCTACCTTCCCACCTGGATGACTATGCCACCGATCAAGTAGGCAAGACTTAAAACACACACAATTCAGACACCTTCCTGTGAACTGAAACGTGATGTGGGAAGTCGTGATGATTGTAGATCTCTACTGAAAAGAGGTTTAAAAAAAAAAAAAGTTTTTAAAAGTTTTAAAAAAAGTTAAAAAGCAGAGACGTCACCTTGCCGACGAAGATCCGCATAGTCAAAGCTATGGTTTTTCCAGTAGTA